TCTTAAAAGTGGCCAAGGTTGGAGAACTCCTGCTCCTCCCGTTCTCCTCCTTCACTTTTACTACCATCTTCCGCTGAAGAAAATTGCTGAGACGAGGCCAACGGGAGTCTTCGTGAGCCCCACCCATTGGGAACCAGCACGGTTAACTGCCTTGTCTAGGTTATTTTTAGGAAGCGAGAATGTGTCACTGATGGGGGGGCGGGAATAAGGAAGAAAGAGAAGAGTTTGCTTTGGGACTTTTTCTGTGGTTGTCATTTCTAGTAGCTGAAACCATTTTTTTTTCGAGAAGGAAGCCACGCTTGCCTTCGGATACCCCAAGGAATGTTCTTAACTCCCCCGGGATTCATCCTCAAAAATGTAACGGGGACTAGGAGCCTTTGGGGTGTCTGAATCCTTGGACAAGCCTTGGTTGAAAAGGAGAAACCAGGAAGGAAAACATCTGGCCCGGAGTCTCCGCTGCCCTTCCAGAGCCCGTCTAAACGGAACTGCCACGTTCTGTCACTGCTCTCCCCATCACCAATCCCCCGAGTCAGCCTTGGCAGTTTCCGGGCAGAATAACCGCCACCGCCACCGTCCCCGAAAGAGATGCTTTGTCAAAAGAAAGGACCCGTCAGATGCGGAAAAATCCCAGGCTTGCATCCACAAGCTGTTTCCCTTCAACAAAGGGCAGCAGAAGTGTGGCTGATGTATCCCGCCGGGAGCAGGCTTGGCTTACAACCCTCGTCTGTTCCATCTGGCTGCTCGCTGGAAGGACAACGGACTTTCCGCAGACGCCAAGGGATAATGGCGAGCGTGCAATTAACAGCACTTGGCAGTGATTATCAAAGGTCAGACTGGGAAAGGTTGGGCTCTTCTGCCTTCTCCAGCACAGATGGGCCTGAACTGAAATGGCATTTGGGGTTTTTTTTTGTTTGTTTCCCCCCCCCCCACGTGCAATTCACAACTGAGAAGACAGGAATTTAGCCTTATGGATTGAGAGGGAAGGGGAAGGGGAGGGGGAGGGGAAAGGAAAGGTAAGGAAAGGTAAGGAAAGGTAAGGAAAGGAAAGGAAAGGAAAGGAAAGGAAAGGGAGGGAAGGGAAAGGAAAGGAAAGGAAAGGAAAGGAAAGGAAAGGAAAGGAAAGGAAAGGAAAGAAAAGGAAAGGAAAGGAAAGGAAAGGAAAGGAAAGGGAGGGAAGGGAAAGGAAAGGAAAGGAAAGGAAAGGAAAGGAAAGG